CGCCACACTGAGAAAATGCATTTCAGAAAGGAAATGGGTGAGCTTGAATATGCGGAAGATCCGCAGCAGCCGCAAGGCTCTTAGTACCAGCAGCGACTGGCCGCCGGAGAAAAACACACTCAGGATGGAGGGCACCAGGGCCAGCAGGTCAATGACTCCCAGCGGGCTGAAAATATACTTCAGGGGCTTGCCGATGCAGAGGATGCGCAGCAGGTATTCAATGGTAAAGAGAATGGTAAATATCCATTCCAGTATGTAAAAAACATTGCCGTATTTCTGATGCCAGCTGCCAATACTGTCGAACATAACGGTAAGGATGCTGGCTACAATAAGCAGCAAGAGAAATACATCAAATACTTTCCCGGCTATGCTGTTGGATTCATAGATGATTTCATGCAGCTTTTCCTGCCACTGCTTTTTCGGTGCATTTGCCATTAAGCCGGAAAGTTAAGCCAGAATAGGTTTCTGTGTTGTCGCGTGATGGATAAAATGCTTGTAAGCAGGCAGCCATAAATTCTTATATTGATCAAAGTGAAGCCGGAAACACCTGTTGTTATAAGACTGACCGCCTTCCCTGACGCCTTATACACTCGCCGGGAAGGAGACAATAAACATACTTCCCTTGCCCAGTGTGCTTTCCAGCTTGATGCGGCCATGATGCGCATCAACCATTGCCTTTACATAACTAAGGCCAAGACCAAAGCCTTTCACATTGTGCAGGTTGCCGGTATGTGCCCGGTAGAATTTTTCGAATACACGTGCCTGGGTTTCTTTGTTCATCCCAATACCATTGTCCCGGACACGGATGGCAAACATGCTGCCATTGTTCACCGTTTCCAGGTTGATCTGGAGCGGAGCGTCTTCCCGCGAATATTTGATCGCATTATCCAGCAGGTTAAAGATAATGTTGGAGAAATGCACATCATCAGCAATGATCTTATGTTTGGCGGCTTTAAGATTCAGGTTCAGCGTGCCTTTCCGTTCCTGTATCTGGAGGGTCAGGTTGTCAGCTACCTTGCGGATGATCTCATGGGCATTCAGTTCCTGCAGGTTCAGCGATATTTCCTGGCGTTCGATACGGGCTGCCTGTAAGATGGTTTCTACCTGTTTGTTCATCCGCTTGTTTTCCTCGCGTATCATGCCGCTGTAGTAGCGTATCTTCTCTTCATCATTGATCACTTTATGATTGTTCAGCGCATCAACTGCCAGCGAAATAGTTGCCAGCGGTGTCTTTAGCTCATGCGTCATATTATTGATGAAATCGGATTTGATCTCTGATAGCTTTTTCTGGTTGAACAACGTGCGTACCGTCAGGGCAAAGGCTGAAATAATGATGGT